TGAAAGTGAAGTAAGATTTGTCAAGGTTTTGAAGAGCAAATGGGGTAGTGATCCTCTATTCTTGGGATCCTACAGTCATGTTGCGGTTGGATCAAGTGGTGCTGATTTGGACACAATGGCTGAGCCATTACCAAAGGTTGGGAGCTGTGAGTCAACTGGTGTGCATCCACTTCAAATTTTGTTTGCAGGGGAGGCTACACACAGAACCCACTATTCTACAACCCATGGTGCTTATTTTAGTGGCCTTAGGGAAGCCAATAGGCTTCTCCAACACTATCATTCTGTTGGAGTTTAGACTTACCAATCTAATTTAATTTATTTTTGAATACCCATTTTCCTGATCCTTCTCGTTTTCTATCTAAAGCATCTTTCTTATTGTCTTTAAAGTAAGCAAGAGTGAGTGAGAGCAAAAGAGGAACAAATATTAGGGGAGGGGGGGGAATGAAAGAGATAGATGGGGATATTTTTAGATGTATGGAATGAATTAAAGAATCTTCTTTTCAATTTTCTATTGGTTTTCTTTGTTTGTGAGTTCAAGGTTTCCTTTTCAATACATAATCTTGCTTTCCTATTCAAAGCAAAACAATTTTAAGTTTGTGTTTGGTATTGAATGTTTGATGGTTGGGAGTAAAGAACAAGAGAGGCTTGAAATCCCAGATCTCTTTTCTTCTCTCTGTGTCTCTGGATATTGTTTTGGTTTATGCCTGATCACTGGACAGGATCCGCTAAACCCGGCTCTTTCCAGCTAGGAATCTCTTAAATACGGTTCCTTTTCTGGCTTTTCTCTTTGCCAATATTTTGAGATCTCAAATTCAAACAAGGCCTTGTTATCTCTCTTTGCGCCTTGCCAACAAAAAAAATGAAATGAACTTGGGACAATCGATGTGCCGGTTGTGATGTCGTAAAGTCACCAACACGACACCTACTGTATCAAAACAATGCAGCCCTGAGTCGGACCAGTAGCGGAGTCCATGGAATTGGAGTCCATCAGCATTTCTTACCAAAATGTGCTGAACAATCAGAAGGGATCAGAGATGCTTATTGCCATCTGATTGCTTTGATATTTGGTTTTTGGTGGGGGGACCCTTTCGGCATGATAGGTCTAACTCCATGCATACGTGACATTGCAGACATACACAAAGACAGTTAGCTCTTAGCCTGTTAGTAGACAGCACCAGTGGCCTACGGCCTACCCACTGGGTACCATAGATTTCTCTGCAAAGGAAATCTATAGCTTTAGTGTGATAGGCGTAGAAAAGGACAGTTCATAAGCAAACAATATCAGCTGTCTGGGGTTATTTCTGTTCTCATATATCCCAAGTCCACCCGTTGGAAGTCACGGTATCCAACCATCCAACGGTATCTTCATCTTTCAATTTGGGTCCACCACACCCTAATAATTGACCCTGATGCTGTTGATGAAATTCGTCCATCTGAAGACGTTTCATGATTTAAAACCAAATCTGTAACAACAACGAGAAATCTACCAAGGTTTTTTAATGGGAAAATCCAAAACGGTTTTGATCTCCTTAATCTTTGGGTTGATATTTTAGGGTGAGTGAGAGCACTGTATGGTCAAATCAGTAAACCTATTCATTGAGACTCCATTATTGTGGTTTGTAACATTTGCCAGGCTCTCCCCCAGAAAACTTCAATGGCCCACTAGTTGTCTCTTTTTGCCTCTTGTGGGCTTCAATCACTCTTTGATGATTGTACATATCGCAGACCCCTCTGACACCAAGCCCTTGTCTGATTCATAAACAAACAAATGAGAATCTCCATTTCCGAACTCACCCACCTCACCCACTGCCCCATTCCAAACATCTTACTGCTACTTACTTACTTGACTAGACCCTCTTTTTTCCTGATAATCATCATTATCAACCCCTTCGTTAGCCATAGTGCTAATGGTCAATCAATTCTCCAGCTCCTATTTGCTATCTGATGCCATAATTTGTCATGATCACACCCTCTAATTCACAAGTCTTGGCAATTATCAATACCAAATTATAGTCCAACTATTGCTGTAATTATTCAGGTTAGCAGTGCAATGCAAGCGAACTCCAATTTTCATCTTTGTGCTACTTTGGATTGACTGCTTTCATTAGGTTTAAACTTTATTTCACTGTTAGATTGCGGCCCTGTCTGTCATGGTAGGAATCATCGAATCCCCAACACTTATAATGTGGGGGGCCGTTATTAATGCAGGATTAAGATATTGCAATATCAACGGAATCTTCAACGCAATGAGATGCTTGCTGGTGGATTTTGCTCTTTAAACTTTACATCTTGCTTTTTGACATTGTCTTTTAGGCAATCCTTATATTCATGTTTCATGCTCACAGATTTTGCATATATATTTTCATTTGAAAGGATACTAAAGTTATTGAACACTGCAATCATTTCTTTGAAACTATCAAATGTAACGTGGAGCCTAAAGATTGAACCAAGGTGGAACAATTTCGTCCGAAGCAATGTAAAAAGTAAAAGGGACAAGAATAAAAATAAAAAAGGGATGTGTTGAAACAACACCTACTGATCACCCGTGACCGATCCAGCTTGTTGTTCTTTTTCCCTTCTTCCATTCTAAGTTCTAACCAGTAATCTTCAGACATGATAGAACATAAACCTTTAAACAAGTTAAAAGGAAAACAACTTGCTTCAACAATCCTGTCAAAGGGAAAAAAAAGGGTCTTTTTTATTCAGTTTCAACATACCAGCTGATAATTTCAGTAACTTGAATTAAGAAGCTTAGAACCGTACGTACGATTCCAGCCTGTTTCCATATTTCCCCTTTATTCTGTTGAATGATCAATTGACTCATTTTCTTGTTTGAAATTTCGGGACTCATCATTTTCTACTTCAAGACAATATAACTTCTGTATTAGAAATCCCAATTTTTTTTCTTTAATCAAATGATCTTGTTTACTTTCTTGCAAATCTTAGGTTTAAAAAGTTTAATAACACACAAGGAGAAAGCAGTGTGCTTTATTCTCCCGAAATGAGAATTAACTTTTCTATCCTTGGAGAACCAATGATTCTCCAACATGGAGATTGTCTGATTTAAGTAAGTTATCTTGTTGGCATCTTATAAAGTTCCTTCCTTGTGATGATAACATAGCACACTGTTTCAGTCTTTTAACTTAAAAAGAACAAATGGTATGTCAAAAAAATTTATAGTAAAGGAATCTAGAGAGCTACTTATAGGGATTTTAGGGGTCTTTCTTTGGAGGCTGTCCCCTCAATGTCCCCACAAAAGTCATAGTGGCATCTGATACTAATAATAATAATAACAACCAACTCTTTAGAGTCTGATTGATGCCGCCTTCTTTTACTTGCAGGTGAATTTTATTGCGGATGCAATGCTACTCCACAATATGTTTTTCTTTGATCTTGTCCTTCACAGCACGTGTTCAAAAGCACCAGCTTGTTGGATTTGTCTTTTTAATGTTAAAACAGTGAGGTAACAACTGGTAGAAAACAAAAGTTTTGGCCAGTGGCCTAGGACACTGCAGGTAATTTTCAGGAGACCCCTAGATGATAAAAAGCATTGATGAGGAGTACTTTCTGATAAATTTACTCAGACTCAGTAATTGGATTTGGACTTTTTTTCCCCTAATGTGAGAGTGCCAATATATATTTTCTTTTAGAGACATTCCATCCAGGCTCCAGGCTCCAGGCATCCAGTGGTTTTTCCTTTGTAGCTTGTAGTAAGACTTCTCCTCTTAAGGCTTACAAGTAAGGAGGTTTAAACATTTACTAAGCTTTGGTTTGATAGTTTGACGAGTTCGAAATTGTAAATTGAAAAACTATTTCTAATTAAATTTGATTTGAAACTTTAAACTCAGTTTAACATTCTTGTTACCTTCTAAATCACAATTTTACAGCCAAAACTCTACATGCATTTTGTTTATAATGGAAGAAGATTCATATATACTTCCAACAAAAAGAAGAATGTTAGATCGTATCCAACTTAGGATATTATTCGTTTTAATTCTGAAAATTTTTATGAGTTTATTTTACAAAAAATATTTTTTAAATTTAAATTTAAATTTTTATATATATATTATAGTAGATTTTCAAAACCTTCAAATATGAGATTGAAATGTTACAATTTTTTTTGTTAAAACTTAATATTTCGATCAAATCTAAGATAAAATATATATAAAAAAAAAGAGGTGGTTCCTGTCACGCAAGAGGTGGCTTCTATAAGATTTTAAAATAGGCTCATATAATATAGCACTAACTCCTATAAACTGTTAACTTGATTTTATTATTATTTGTAAATATTTGTATCTAACTTATAAAATATTATTTATTTTAATTTAAAATCTCATGATTTTATCTCACAAAATATTTTTCATAAATTTAAATTTAAATATTTACTTATAAATTATAACAAATCCTTCAAAATTTTAATGTAAAATTGGAGTGTCACATGAAATCTTAATTAGTCAAAGTACAGCAAACTCAATCGTGAACCATGATGGAGTTGATGCCCCAACGACAAGAAAGAAGAAAAAAAAAAGTGGAAATCATGTCAATTTTTTTTGTAGATAACATGAAGGTTTTAGTTTCGAGTTAATAATATTTTGGTCTAGCTTTCTTTACTCCTAATCTAGTCACCATATAATAGAATGGAGCTCAGCTTTTAAATCCTATATTAAGCTTCCTATTCTTAGGATGCAGCTTCTTTTATAGTAAGGAAAAAATATATATATTTGATTTTGAGTAATTTCTCAAATGTTTTACCTAGTCCATACACCATACTTCATAAACAAAAGGTATCTTGCATTTTCAAAAGCGCTCATTGATTTTTGGGCGTTGATGCCATTTCAATGCTTTAACAGAACTTTATATGCTTGAATTAATATCTTGAAAATTATTTGTTAAAAAAACAAGTTTAGCAAAAACCAATCCAAAAGAGGCAAGAGGTAAGTATATTTTTTGTTTACAATTGCAAAGGTACCATAAGGCAGTAAAAAAATTACTACTATTCAATGTGAAATTGTGCTGCTTTATTTTTCTATTGAGTTGCAAATTATTACTTTCTTGCTTTACAGTTTACAACTGTAACTTCTTACAAGACGAAAGCTTGATTCACTTTGTTCTTCTGACCAAAGAGATACCCGTTGGATCACCACCCCATCCTTCGAAAACAACCAGCAAGTTCCCTGTTGGATATAGCCAAGAGCGTGGAACGTGATACCTGAATATATACACGAAAATTCCCTATCAATTGAATTGCCTGGAGTTGTATCACTTACATATACGATGGGAGCAAACGGTAAGCTGAAGGCAAACTCACCATCTTTGAGAAGGCTGTCCACAACCATATAGACATTTATTCTCGTTAAAAAATCCGGCGTAATTACATTGATTACAGGTACCAAATGCCTTATTGGCAGGCCAATGACGGCCTATGCTATTTCCATTAATCCAGATTTCACCTTTCCCCATGGTTTTCATATCCAGAGCTAATGGATCATTGCCTTGTGGTGAACCAAAAGTTGCCTAGAAATTAATGCCAGAAAATATAAATTAGTAATGTAAGAATATCAATTGTAACAATGTGCCAAGATAATTCTCACCTTGTACCATGTTAAGGGCTTCTTTATTGCTAATGCTGGTCCATCTACCCACTTGACCGAGGAGCTTCCTTTGGCTGTGTAGAGACTCAAAGCTTCACCTTCCACACCAATCTTTTCAAAACAATTTGAAAGATATATAGGAATCGTTAGTCATCTATATGTATTTGTATTGCCATTGTTAATGTTTTAGCTAATTTCATTTTTTTTCTTGCTGAATCCATGAAATCATAATTTGGGATAATCAAGGAAATCTAATCTTTGAAAAATGAATTTAGCAGCTCAATACACTCTTAACTGTCCTGCTTGTTATTATATTTGAAATTGTTAGAAAATTTTCATCAGAATACTACTTCTTTTTTGTTTTTATTTAAAGTTATCAAAATTTGAACGAAAGATAAGAGTTCAGAACTCTACCAATAAATCACATGATTGTTGGCCGGCAGAGTTTCATCTGATAGGGTGAAGGATGTTTCTTTATTCATGTTTCATCCATAAACTTTCTTTTTTCGAGTCACTCTTTTGTTCAAAGGTTAACTTGTCACCTAATTAATTTCTTAGAATTATGGGTGTACTAGAAGTGTAGAGCAGGAAATGTACGAAACAGACCTTGTAAGACCATGTCCATCTAGACATGTCCCAAATCCCTGAATTAAGGCCTTTCAATGTGACGGGACCAAGAATTCCAATGTTCCATTGTTCAAAATGCTTTCCAACATTCTGAAAACAATCGTGTAAGTTGGTAGAAACACAAAAGAAAAAAAAAACCATTAGCTTCTTGTAACTCTCATATACGTTTGTAAGAAAATAGCAAAATTGAAACAAAATCTGACCGGAAGTCCAACTGCAGAACTCAGCAAAGAAATCTTGTTAGTTCCAGCTCTGAGGTTCACTTTGTCAATAAATTTTAAATTTGGGTTCTTCAAGTTCCCATAAGCAGTTCCTGCCCAAAACCATGGATAAACCAGTCCATTAGCAACATAAATTTGTAATGCATTTTGAACTTCATGTTAAATAAAATAATCCCTTCAATGCTGTGCCGTCTACCTGATAATTGACCATTGATGAAAACACCTAGAGCATGGCCCGCAGATTCAACTGTGAGGATTGGAAGCTGCCCATTCTTCAGAAATCCTTCATTGGCTTCTATATTGACACTGTTGCATGTAGACAACATTAACTAGTATTTGGGAGTCGAAAATGACAAAAATTGTTTTTGAATAACATATATACTCACTCTGTCATGTACCATAAATAGTCTGAATTATCCCAAGTTGAATTCAATTGCTCCTTTAAACCACCAGCAGTAAATGATTTCTTATCACCCACGGAGGCAGCAGCTTCAGTGTATGATTGCCAAGAGAATGTCACACCATTCACAGGCACCATCCCCATATGAAAGTTAGGAGCAGAAACCTAAGTACAACACCTAAGTTTGACCTCAATTCCGATTATTTGATTTCTAACAGGAACAAGAAAAGGAGCAGGGGAGGTGGGGGCATTGACCAAATGATGTAGCTTGTACGCTATTTTCTTTACCTTTGCAGTGTTGAAGATTGCATTCTTGCAGTCAGGTAGAATGCTAACAGACCATGGAAGGAGATCATATTGCATATTTCTGAAGGTCACGGTCGCAGAGTTTTCTTGATCATAGTTTGCTAGGAATGCAGCACAAGTATTTGACCCCGATTCGAAAACATGAGCCTTGATATGGAATAAAATAAGGTTCAGTTTAAAGCTAAAGAGGATAAAGGCAAAAAGATAGAAGCACAAAGTAAAAATTTTGTCTTAACCAGCTGAATAAAACCTCTAACCTCTTGATTTTTCCCAAGTGATGTGACTGTGGGGTTCACAGAGACTAACGCCGGTTCACAAAGCTTGATGGCTTTATGCAAATCTCTTAAATGGCTCCATTTTGGTTCCCTAACCAGCCCTATCATCGAAGGAAATATGGCTAATTAAACGATTAATTGGTTGGAAATTATTGGATGAATTTGGAGTTTAGCTTAATTAATTTGTACAGTCATAACAGATTTGAGTTTAAATTTTAATAAATGTAACTTTTTTTTTAGACTATTTGGAAGTGATGGTATCATATGCATGTCTTGTAGCAAGTAACAAAAAACAAGGTACAGATAAAGAGGCAGGCAGATTTTGGGTTGCTATTTTTTTACCATATTCATCAATTGGAGCATCGTAATCATAACTGGTAGCGATAAATCTACCAGATGTCCTCCCAAAATTTGTTCCTCCATGATACTGAAGCCAGAAGAAATCAAAGGATTAAAAACTTAAGAATTGTTATAAACAGCATTTGAATCGATCAATGTAGCCAGATGAATTAATCATCAAAATTTAGGGTATAAGGAAGTGTTGGCATACCATATAATAGTTTACAAATGTACCGTTGTTCTGTATAAACCTTGCAACTGCAAATGCAAGGTCCTCTACTGGTCTATAAGGCAATGCTCCACCAAACTCCAATAACCTAGATTAGGAGTTAGTCCTGCCTGACACTAGGGAAACTGACACAGTTATCTAGTTCTTTACAAAGAGAGAAAAATTGGCCCATAACAGTAATAACATTTGTGTGACTTACCATCCACTCCAGACTTCTGTCCACATTTTTGGTTTGTAGTTCTTATTAGGAGTGAAATTTTCACAGTAAAACCCATTGCAAGTGTTTATCTGTAAAATAAATGATGGAAGTGAGGTATTGGAAGAACATATTAATCATTTAGCAAAGGAAAAGTGATAGAATATATGTTAGACATATGAAACCATATGACTTTAATCAGATATGTGAAGCAACTCCTTAATTTACACTTTACCCAAATGAAAACTTGTAGGAAATGGTTATTTCACAACAATGCATTTTCATTTCATTCATATCATGTTATATGATCATATTATTGAAAAAATAAATCAACTATTTATTACACATCACATGTACAAATTTATTGAAATAAATATTTACAATTTAATTATCATGTAATAAATGATTGGTTTTTTTTAATAACGTGATTAGATGACATAATTTGAATGAAAAATACAATGTAAAATAATCATTTTATATAATCTTTTTTCTATCTGTCTAGATTGGTCCTTGCCTGTCTCTAGTTACCTAGTAGAGTTTTTATGGCTAAACAAAGGGATTGCCCGAAAAAAAGGGAATAGGAACGACGTAAAAAACAAAGAATTAAAAAGGAAATAAAAAAATGGCAAAAACTTCTTACAATTGGATCAAGGGCATCCTCTTGTTTGCACATGACCCATGGTACAGAAGTGTTGAGACCTACTGCCATTTTTGCTGCCCATTCTGCGTAGTCTTTTCCACTTTTACCAATCTCAAACTCCACGAGTTCATATTCGTTCTCTATCTGCCATGATTTGTGGAACAGTATACAAACTTTAGAGTTTACAAAGATCAAAACAATCAAGATATAATAACACAAAATAAAGAAAGAGAATCATAAGTAAATTTGTTTATCTTCTAACCTGAGCCAAAATTATTGGTCCTCCTTGAGGTTCAAACAAATTTTCTGCTTTCATCATGCTGACAATCTTCTGTGTAAATCCTCCCATTGCCACCTTAAACATAATTATATGAAATTTAAAATTGCTTAGTCACCCATGGAAACATCGGAACATTCATAAAAAGAAGAGAAGTGGGATTTTACAATTATAAGCATCCAACCTTGAATTGTTCATTGTCTTGTCTAAACACGATGCCTGGCACGTATTTCAGCCAGACAGGAAATCCCCTGTATGAAATAAACCAAGAACAACTTGATTTTTGTTATATGAAATTTCAGGTTTTTATAATTCTATTATATATCATGTTAAAACATTACCCGAAGTTCCATTCAGCACAAACAAAGGGACCAATCCGGAGATGAACGTAAAGACCGGCTTTTTGGACTAGTTTGATGAATTGGATCAGATCATATCTCCCCTCAAAATAATACTGAAATTTCCATTAAAGGTTATGGTTAGGAACAGATTGGAAAAACAAAACTTAACATGAAAACACAGGAAGTTTTACTTTTCCCGGAGAAGGCTCGTGCCCGTTCCAAAACACGTAAGTTTCAATAACATCTAAACCTCCATCCTTGGCCTTTTGAATGAGATCAGGCCACATCTGTAAGCAAGCAAGAAAACAGTAATTAAAAACCCCATAAGCCTTTAAAATTAATATGAAAAGTTATTCAAAAAAATCAAACACAACACTACCTCGGGAGTGCTTCTTGGATAGTGAATGGACCCTGACAGTAGTATCCTTCTTTTACCATTAATAAGAATAGTTTTGCTGTCATATGACACTGATCCTGTTACGACAGATATCCATGAAAACAAGAACATGCAGAGGAACATATTGGCTTTCCACATGTTTAACGTTCGAACTATCAAACCCTCAAGTCCTTGACTTCCTTTTCCTTGTAGGAAAGGACAACAAATAGTTTTGATCTCCATCTTGGGATCTTTCAAGTAAAATCTTTCAAATAATCTTTTAATATATTCTAAACTTTATAAAATTGATTTATAAGCAAAAAGAATAATAAATGGGAAACTTAAGACGGTTTTCAATGGATGGCAACCCTATTTTTGCTCCACTTGATTGATTTTCTTTGTTTGACATAGAAACAGTACTGCAGGCTGCAATAACCAAATAGATAACTGCTATTCTCAATAATCAAGGAAAAGATGCTAACTAATTGGAAAAAGTAAAAGCCAAAAGTTAAAATTGCTAGTTTACATTGTCTATTGAATACTATCCAATTCTCTTTACTATTATTAGTTTTTGCCACATGCATAACGCAAGAATAATTTTTATATCTAAAAATTCACTTTTTATGTTATGATAACAATGATAAATATTAATAATTTAATTTTAATTTTGATATAATATAAGTAAAATTTGATAAATTTTAATATAATTTTGATTTTGATAAAATTTTGATAACTTTCAATATAATTTCGGTAACCATTGATATGATTTTGGTAATTTTTGATAAAATTTTAATAACCTTTGATACAATTTTAATAACTTATGATATAATTTTGACAACCATTGATACAATTACGGTAATTTTTTATAAAATTTTAGTAACTTTTTTATGTAATTTTAGTAATATTTTGATAGCTTATGATGTATTTTTTTATAATAATTAATAAAATTTGAGTCATTATATATTTAATAATGGATTCTTATATGAAATCAAAGGTTCAATTATGTAATAAGATAATTTTCTTTTTATACACTAACATTATTGTTTTATTTAAATTTAGGAATTTTTTCATTAAATTTTTTTTATTGAATAGGGTAGGTTTGTCCTAGTATTCTAAGATAAAATTTCTAGCTCCATTTTTGCTAATAACTAAGATTCTATTCTAACAACTTTAAGTATAAAAAAAATTTATCAATGATTAACAATGAAGTTATTATTGATTTAATATTATATTATTATCAATTTATTACTAAACTATCAATGAAATACTACTAAATTATTAATGATTTTTTACTAAATTAACATTTATTTACAACTAAATTATGACTAATTTACTACTAAATTGTTGATAATTTACTACTAACTGATGAATCGTTACAAAGTTATAACTTGCTACTATTAACTGATAATTTGTTATAAAATTATAACTGATTTATTATTAATTTATCAATAATTTATTCAAAGTTATAATAATTAACAAATTTGCTACTAATTAACATTTACAACTAAATTATTAGTGATTTATTACTAGATTATCAATAATTTATATATAAATTATTAATGATTTACTATTATATTATTATGCATTTACTATTATGTTATCATTAATTTACTACTAGTTTTAGATTATTTGTTACAAAATTGTCATAGGTTTATTACAAAATCAACCATGATTCATTATCAAGTTATCATCGATTTATATTAAATTATTCATAATTTATTATCAAGTTATCATTGATTAACTATTAAGTTATTAATAATTAACTACTGCTAAGTTATTTTAATTTACTTTTAAGTTTTCAATGATTAACTACTAAATTATTATTGATTTTCTATTAAGTTATTTATGATTCAGTACTAAATTTATCAATTAATTTTTATTAAATTGAAACTAATTTACTATTAAATTATCATTAATTTACTATTAAATTATCATTATTTTTTTATTAAATTATCAATTATTAAAAAATAAGTTGTCACTTATTTTTTATTAACCTATCATTGATTTACTATCATGTTGTTATGTATTTACAACTATGAAACATGAAATTTAAAAGTCTAATAATAATATACAAGATAATTTTCTTTTTATACAATAACATTATTGTTTTATTCAAATTTATAACTTTTTTACTAATTTTTTATTTAATATGTTTATGGTAGATTTATCCTAATCCCTAAAATGAAAAATTTGACTTCATTTCTGCTAATACTCAGGGTTCAATCTCTGACAACTTTAAGTATAATAAAGTTCTCAGTTATTGACAATTAAATTATTAGTTATTTCCTATTATACTATTAATTATATACTACTAATTTATGAATCATTTGTTGCAAATTTATGATGGATTTATCATTAAGTTATAAATGATATACCAATTATTTTGGGAGATTTACCATTAAGTTATTGATAATTTATTTTAAAATTATAACTGATTTATTACTAATCTATTGATTTACTAAAAAGCTATCAATAATTAATTAATTATTACTAAATTATCATTGATTTACAACTAAGTTATTAGTAATTTGTTATTACATTATTAGAGATTTACTACTAAGTTATCAATTTATATCTAAATTATCAATGATTTACTATTATATTTTTATTTATTTGCTATTATATTATCATTGATTTACTATTTAACTTTTAATTATTTATCATAAAATTATCACTGATTTATCACTAAATTATCTATGATTCATAACCAAATTATTACTGTTTTATATTAAATTATGCATGATTTACTATTAAGTTATCATTGATTAACTATTATATTATCAATAATTTATGATTAAGTTATACTGATTTATTTTTAAGTTTTCAATAAATAACTACTATCAATTAATTACTATTAAATTGAAACTAATTTATTATTAAATTATTACTAATTTGTTATTAAGTTATTATTGATTTATTACTAAGTTATCAATAGTTAACTAATGGGTTGTCATTTATTTTTTGTTAAGTTATTATTGATTTAGTACTACACTGTTATGCATTTATAATTATATTATAATTGATTTACTATTAAAGTATTATGCATTTATTATTATATAATTACTGATTCACTAACAAGTTATCAACTATTGACTATTAAATTATTATTCATTACTATTAAGTTATTACTAATTTACTACTAAGTTATCGATTATTACTGCTAAGTTATATTGACTATATTTAAGTTTTCAATGATAAATTACTAAGGTATTCTTTATCCACTACTACGTTATCATGGATTTATATATATTCAAAAAGAAAATAATCATAATATAAGCATATGTAATTTGTAAAGTAAAGATAGAAAGAAAAAAAAGTTTAAGTATAAATGACTTGAAAAACATCAATAAATACTTTTAATTTATTATCAGTAGTATAACACATAATAATAAATTAAAATCATAACTTTTTATACTAATGTAAGTACAAAATTAAATTAAATAAATATATATAATATACATTAAGTCAATATTTTTAAGATGTTCATAATTTTTAGTTCATGATAAAATAGTACATATTAAGATAAGTTTTATTAATGATTTGATTGAATTATTAGTGCATATATTTTTATAACTATTAATGAAGTACAATTGTATATAAAAAATTAAAAATTTTGAAATGTTCTATCACTAAGGAAAGTAATAAATTTTGCCTTTTGTTTTTATCTTTAAGTATATAATTTTTGGTAAAACTTTTGGTATATATGTGATAACAGTAACGAGAACAAATTTACTAAATAAAATCTATAAAATTAAACAAACCATAGTTTTAAAAATATTAAATTTAGAATAATTGCCTTTGCATTCTGCATAAAAATTTTCTTTTACTAAATAAAAAGATGTTATATTTTTAATTATTGCTTTATTATTACTACCATCATCCAAAATTGCCTTTTTGATATTTTGATGTCAATCAACTTCTTCATTTGAAAAGAATAAAGAATATTGTAAGAGATCATAACAACTCAAATAATGTTTAACTCTATGATATCTTCCTGAATGAGTATAAACTATGATATCTCTTCAAATAAAACATTTGAATTATACCCTTCAACTCATATAACAGCAACTTGATAAAAAATAAACAATTATAAACCCATTGATCTAAATTAATATTTTTGCAATACAAATTTTAAAATCCTCAAAAGAAAATTTATCCTTTAATCTCTGTAAGACTTTGACATAAGGATTTTCTTTTTTTAATTATTATTAGTATCTCTATATTTTTGCACTTACATTTTCATTGTATTGTATTCTTATTCTACTTTGAAAATTTATATTAATGTCATAAAAGTATAACCAAAATAATATGAATTAATCAATTCAAACTTGAAACAATTCGAAACCCAAATTGAGTATAAATAAAATTTTTACTCATTTTAAATTTTAATTTAATAAAAAATAATATAATACATATAATTATAAAAATGAACTTGACTCGATTTTAATTGAATTTAAAAGTCAACAACTTAGTAATTATTTAAAACCTAAAATGATTGTGCATAACTAAAATCCAAATTGAAATAGTAACCCAATCAAAATATAATATTTCTTATTTATCTTCCATAGTAATTTAAAATTTTTTTATTTAAGTTTTTTTTTCCTCAATTTCAATGTCTTATTTTTATTGTCTTTGTGGCTAAATTAGTTAATAATTTTAAAAGTATTTTTAAAATAAAATTACGATTATAAGCAATTGAATATACTTTTTTTTATTTTTATTTAGGATGATTTGAATATAATTTTTTGAATAAAGAGAAATATGTACCAATTATTGAGTTAAATTTATTCAGTCACATAAATGTTAATTAAGTACACTAAAAATAAAAGTAAATGATAAAACTTGATTCAACTTAATTGGTCGTTGATTCTAAGCCTAAAATTCAACTCGAAATTTTGAAAAATCAAAATTCAAAATAATTGAAATACTAAATAAATAATTAAATAAATATTGATCAAATGAATTTTACTGATGAATGCCTTTGAATGACTTTTAAGTTTAGTTAAATTATAATTTACAATAATATTTTTATATCAAATATAATAGTGGTAATTAATTTGATGAATTTCAATATTTTTTGAACAAATATTATCTACTATGGCAATTTTAAAAATTTTGATACAACAATGAATATTTTTCCACTGACATAAAGTAGAAAATGAAGGAGTATATAATATTTCTTTCAAATAAAATAGTTTCATATTAATCCTAAAAAAATTTGAAACCAATATATTTGTATATCTTTGATTGAACATGATATAACATTAACCTTCTTTATCATATGAAAAGATGGAGTTATGTATAACTAATTCATATTTTGTCCCATTTTTCTACTTAGAATAATCTTCCATTGATACTTCCTTCAATTGAATGTAATTAAACGTTCTATCAATTGAAAGCTTAATTTTTTATTTAAAAAATTTTATTATACATAAAATTTTGTTATTTAGAAATATTAAAATACATAATTTTGAAAATAAAATAAATTAAATTCTTTATCTTGGTATTTGTCATGTTTTATTAAGAAATTTTAATTCTAAAAATAACGAACAATTTATAATGATTTCATTTTTAGCATTAACAAATAAATTTTTATAAATGAATTTAACTTTGGTATAAAAACATTCAAAAATAGTTTCAATGAATTTTGTTGCATTTTAAAAGAATTCATAAAAAATAATTAATTTTACATCACTTGATAATTTTTTACTTAAAATAATTAATGTTAGATCGTTTAACCACCTAAATAATAAAAAAATGAGTAATTTAATATAATTTAGAAAGATTTAATAATTTTGATATTTAAATTAATCATATATAAGCATATTAAGATAAAAGTTTTAAAAATAAAATCAGTTATTATTTTAATCATGGTGAATGATTTTTATAACAACTTAACGGGATACAATTTTGAGCTATTGGTAGCTTCATCATCATTTGAATTATCTAATTATATAAGTGAAAAGTCTAATTAAAGTGTTCAATGAATCACATAATATTGATTGTTGGTGAAGGGGGTGAAATTGATTTGCTTTTGATTTGGTATTAGTTTTTGTTCATTGGAATAGCAATTATTAAATTTTAAAGAAAAAAATACAAAAATGAAGTTAATTATAAAGGCCATACTAAATTATAGGAATGATATATTAAAAATTTATTTCATGACTAAAAGGATTTAATTACATTATTAATTATCAACTCATAAAATATATAAATAATAAAATCATTATCATACATATATAGTTAATATATTAAAACAAAAAATTGAAAGGCAAAAAATAGAAAGAAAATATGCTTAAATGATTTAATTATGATTTTTTTAATAAATTTATTTATCAACATAAATTGCATATACAATTATTTTTACAATAACTAAAGAAATAAATTTCATATAATTGTTTCATTCCTATACACATTAAGCTTTTATATTATTCTATTTGTATTTTCATTTAATGTGAAAAATCATTTTACTTATGAAAAAAGAGTTTAATAATAAAAATAAAATCCTTTAAATTAAAATTTATAAAAAATTACTAATATTATTTTAATCAATCACTTTTAATATTTTCAAAATTAAAATTTTATTAAGGGTTTCCTCAATCACTTTTAGTATTTTTTTAGTTTAATTATAAAAAAAATCTAATAATAAAAAAATTATTTAAATTAAAATTTATAAAAAATTTATTAAATATTTTTTAGTCAATCGCTATTAACACTTAAAATTAAAATTTTAAAATTTTAAGTAATTTAATTTCTCATAAACTTTATTTTTAATTCTAAGTGATTTATACTAAATTTAAATAAATTAATAAAAGTTATATATTTAAGGATGAATTTGTTAATCTAAAAATTATAAGGGTATTTAGATCGATCACTATTAATAGTTTTAAAATTCACACTTTTATATATAGATAATATTACAATTAATTAATTATAATAAAAAATTATGTAAGTTTCTATTATTTAAAATAAGAGTGTTTGACTTACAATTCTTTTTACTATAATATTATAATTGTGCAATCACAATAAACAGCTATGTAAGGATCCATCACTTATAAATGTAAGTTTCATATAAAATTTTGATAATTTTTATACAAATCTAAATTATGATTGGTTAATTGCATTATAATTGTTGTACGTAATATGCTTCCTTTAAAAATGAAGACTATATAATTTTTTTATAAACTCGTGTAATAATGAATTGTGATTGATTAATTGTACTGAAGTAAAATAACCATGATAAAAGAAAAAATTTCATTATTTTACCTAAATTTCAATATTAAATCTCCTTTTATATCAGCAAATACTTCAAACTTAACATAACACTTAAAAATAAATGTTAATAATTAATAGTTAGAAGTTAATGTTTAAATTCAATTTCTTTCACTGATCTTGACCAAGTTTCATTTACGGAAATAAAATTTAATAAAAAAAAAGAGAAAATTAAGAAAACAAAAGAAATAGTATTTTTTGTAAAAAAAAATTTATAGTTTGAGATAAGAGAAATTACTATTATTATTATTATGAAATTTAAATTTTAAATTTGTTCAATCTTATTTCTTAAAGGTTATTATGTAAATAAATTAAGATAATCTAAAAAAATTATTAGTACGGTATACTATTTTTGTAAAAAAAAAATTAATTATTAAATTTATAAAAAGATATAACCTTAGAGATTAAGTCATTAATGAAAATTTTTTACCTTAAAAGGTAAAAAAATTAATGAAAGAAAATTAATGCAGAAATCACAAGCCCAAAGTGAAGTATTTGTTCAACAAAATGAGCATTCCTACTGTAGCCCGTTAAAAGTACCGAGACGCCCAAAACCAATTCAATTCAGGCGGGATAATCCCATCATCCTCCACCGTTTTATTCATCATGAGCCGCCCGCCACCGCGCATCCTCATCACCTTCCGATTAACTGAAAATCATGGGGACACCACCATCAATCACCGACGTCTTCGATCGACTTGTGTCTCACCTTCAATTACTGATCAGGAAACGCCAAAACGTAGAGGAAGTTCTGTCTCTAAATTTCGAAGTTAAACCAAGCTTTAAACCTCAACGAAAACCCTAATTCTAGGGTTAGGGTTTTGGATACTGCTCTCTCTTGTATTTCAAGGCACCCCAGGTAAATTCTTCTACAAATTTAAGTTTTAGGGTTTTTTTTTTATGTGATAATGCTCTGTTTTCATTATCCATTTGTGTAAATTTACATTTTTCTTAGTTTTTTGATTCAGTGATTGCGTATTTGGTGGGAGAGTCTTCTGTCAACTCAATTTTTACTATCACTCTAATGTATACAACGGGAGAGATCTTCAATGTTATGAAAAGAAAATTGTAACAAACCATTGGATTGTGTATTTGCAGTCCCCCTGCAGCCACTCAGTAACCCTTTTTGGCATGTAAATTTTGTATGTTTTTTATTGTGTGATGTGTAATCCTCTTAAATGTCATTGAGTCAAGTTAATAGATCAATAACGAATAACAGAATATGAGACAGTAACTCAAGATGCTATTGAAAATGCTTGAATTTATTACTTTCCCATTTATTTTTACAAATAGAAGCAATGAAATTACTTTCCTCTTAGAGACTTAGAGGCATAAGTTGATTCCTGCAAACTGATCCTAAGATTGATGTATAACGTTGTGTCAGAAAAATGGTAGCTTCTCTATTCTATGTATATAAAGCATCTTTTCAACCACTTCACAACCAATGTTTGGCATTGGCCAAGCAGAGTGTGCTGTGTTCACTCTGTTCAAACTTTATTGCCATGTAGCAGAGTCAAATCCATATCATCTTTGCAGTATGGGATGTGTGAGCTTGAATGAACTACCTTTAAAACTAGCAGAGACCATGAGGAAATATGATATAGTGAATATGAACTAGTCTGGACTTCATTTTTTTGGTTTATCACCAATATATCTCTTTAGACTTCAGTTGCAGGCAGCTTCAACTGAGAGCTTCTTCATGCTATCTGGACATGGATCTCCTCCGAAAAGTTCAGGAGCCACAGTTACTGAACATGATTGTTTTCCAATGCAATTCTGAAAGAGACCTTCATGTTAATTATATATCACAGGGAAAACCATTATAAATTCAATATCCAGAACTATGATGGTGCTTGAGTCCCAGCATGAGGCAAACTCATTTTCTGAGCTTCAAGTCTGGCAAATATATTTAACTCTATGCTAAAAGATCAAGTTCACAGCTTGAACAAATTATGCAGTGCAAGCAGATTAGCCATTAAAAAGGAAAAGATTAATGAAAATGATTTATTCACGAGAAATCTCAGGAATCCCTTGAAACTTGATAACATAAATCTTTAAATACAGAATGTTAAAAGCCTTAAAACATTTTTCACAGGTAGGAGCACCAACATTTCTTCACTATAGGCCACCCAGGGAAGTAGCAAGTGTGATGCTTGGTCATGGCTTAAATCGAAAAGGAAAATCAATGTAAAATTTAAATGATAAGTGCGTATGATCCTTTGGTATTAAGAGAGAGATGATGTTAGTTTTTGACGTACCTTTTGAAACGCATCGTATGACTTGTGGGCATGACAGCTTCCCTCACGAAAGCTTCCACAAGTCCCCTCTGGCATTCCATAACTAGCAAACTTTATTTCAGAAATTTTCTGCCCAGAAGGACACCACAAATGAGCTTTTGGTCTATTGATTTTGCCAGAGGCTAGCATTCCCCAATTCTTCATTGCTGGCTGCCCTTCAAAAATATCAGCACAAACACTTTCAGTTGTTCTTTTGACCAAAGCAATTCCAGATGGATCACCACCCCATTCTTCTAAGACAATCAAAAGATTTCCACTTCGCTTCAGCCATGAACGTGGAACGTGGTACCTGAAGGTAAAAACTCTACCATGAATATTTGAATCAGAACAACGAATAGTAACAGTAACATAATAGTTTCTCACCATCTTTGAGATGGCTCGCCACAGTTGGTTCGGCATTTCTTGTCACTATAAGTTCCAGCATAATCACAAGCAGCACAACCAGTACGGGCTATATATCCTGGCCAGTGGCGTCCAATGCTCCGGCCATTAATCCATATTTGCCCTTTTCCCATGCTACTCATATCTAAAGCTAATGGTTCATTGCCTCCCGGCGCATTAAAAGTTGTCTATAAACAACAGAAATTAAATATTTAGATCTGGTTCTATCTTTTCAAACGTGGTATCTGTTTAATAAACACGGAAACTTCCTGACCTTGTACCAAGTTATAGGTTGCTTCTTTATCAATAGTGATCCTTCAACCCATTCAACAGAGGGGCTTCCAGTAATAGTGTGAAGGTTTAAGGCTTCCCCTTTGAGACCAATCTGCTCAGGATCATGTAAACATAGTGTATTAGTATATTTACATGCTAGTAAGTGCAACAACTCCAAGTAATAAAGGTAATTTAAGGACTTGCGGCCTGCTTCCTGACAAGATCTCCAGAAATTAATTTTGAAAACTTTTTTTCTAAAAATTCATAAACATTTAAAATATTCCGAATACTTTAACAGTTTTCAAAAAGTTCCCACAAATCAAGAGGTGCATTTCAGCAATTAAGTTTGCCCTAAAATTTATTTCCCAGATCATTATAAAACAATTAATCTATTGATTTAAATAAATTGTGATGAATTTTTGTTACTATTCCTCAATTTTTCAGTCAGGTAGCAATAGTCTACAAACCTTGTAAGACCATTTCTGCTTAGATAAGTCTCTTGTCCCTTCATTGAGACCCGTCAATGTTACCGGGCCTAAAACCCCAGCATTCCAGGTCTCAAAATGAACGCCAACATTCTGAAACATATGAAATTCGATAATAAGATATTAAAAAAAATCAAAGCCACATCAGAAAAGTGACAGAACTAACCGGGAGTCCCACTGCAACGCTTAATAAAGATATCTTGTTAATCCCAGCTCTCAGCTTAACATTGTTGCTGAATGTTAATTTTGGATTTTCTAAGACCCCATACACAGTCCCTGAAATCAGAATAGCGTAGATATTGAGGTTCATTTATAAGCTTTGCTCATCTCACTGAAGAAAAATGAATGAAAAGTACCAGAGTATTGGCTTTACCTGATAGTTGACCATTAATGAAAACATGCAAAGCATGACCTGCTGACCAAATTGAGAGAAGAAGATCTTGTCCACTCTTCAAAAATCCTTCGTTAGGATCTATTTTTACACTGATTGAACAAAAGCGTGGAAGAAAATTGTATAAGGAAATTGAAAAAGTTTACATAGGTACTCGAATATGTGTTTAGTGGGTAAGATCATCATTACTCAAGATTACTCACTCTGTCATGTACCACAAATAATCTGAAGCATCTCTAGTGACATATATCTGTTCCCAGAGCCCATCATTTACAGTTGCATCCTGATCATCGGCAGAGGGGCTTTCTTCATTGTATGATAACCAAGAAAATGCGCCGTTTATAGGTACCATCTTCTTCTGTGAGCTCTGGGCACCGAGCTGTGCAACAATTACATTCAGATGTTAAATTTTATTTTAAAAAGCTCATCATATAGATAGGACAGAAGGAAAATCAGCTTTAATGTGTGAAACAAAATAGAAGCTTAAATTTCATGAACTAAGGCTCTTTGAGGCCGTACTATCTCTGTCCTAATCGTTTTACTAGGTTTTTCCCCCCATAAAAGATGGAGTTTTCAAAAAGAAACTATAATTCTTATTTCTATAAAAGTGATATGTTTAACATAACTATGGAGACACAGTAGATTAATGTACTGAAACAGAATTAGCTTTGCTATAACAAAGTCTGTTTCTTACCCTGGCAGTGTTGAAAACAGCAGTTCTACAGTCAGGAAGGATGCTGATGGACCAACGTGGTAAGTCATATTGCACATTTCGAAAAGTTACTTTTACAGAGTATTTTGTGTCATAGTTTGCAAGGAATGCAGAACATGCACCAGACTTTGACTTGAATACATGGGCCTGGGAATAAAAACAATTACCAATTATCAGAAGAGCAAATTGCAAAAATGAAACAGTGGGGTAAGTTTCTTTGTGTAGTTTTCTCTCTCTTTCAGCTAGACAAAAATCTTACCTCCTGATTACTTCCAAGTGATGTCACTGTAGGATCTGCAGAAACTAAAGCTGATTCACTTAATTTGATAGCTTTATGCAAATCTCTTAGATGTCCCCATTTTGGTTCTCTTGGAAGCCCTGGTATAAGATCAAAAAGCCATTTATATTCCAAAAGAGTTAATTTTTTTTTAGGGTAATTTTCAAGTACCCAGTTTTTGCCTAGGTTTGATTCTATTCAGAACACGCAATCTTTCTACCCTTTCAACATTAAATTTTACAAATTGAGTATTCCTTATTCTTTGCATGTAAGAAATAAATTGTATCCATGTGTCACATAAAAGCAAGAATGGTGCTCTCAAATTAAGTAGTTGGAATCTTTAATGCTCATAATGAAGCAGGTAAATAAATTCAGCGCAGCCTAGTTCAGACTGCTGTTCGTATGTGCATACCATATTCATCGATAGGAGCATCATAATCATAGCTAGTAGCAATGAAGGGACCACCGGCTGTCCGCCCAAAATTGGTTCCTCCATGGTACTGAAGAAAAAAGGCTTGGAAAAGGTTAAAAAAAAAAAGCTAGTGATCTTCATTGCATGTTATTGTAAAGTGGGTGAACAATATTTACAACGAAAAGAGAGGCCCCAGAACTTAATATACCATATAATAATTCACAAATGAACCGCCATTTTGTATGAATCTTGCAACTGAAAATGCTATGTCTTCTGCAGGCCTAGTAGGAACTGCACCACCAAACTCCGTATACCTTGGGTTTAAACAAAACAAAGGCCAAAATAGAATAACTTTGTAAGGGAAAATTTAATAGAAGTAAAAGGAATGAAGTTCTCGGATCTACCATAGAAAGCAATTTTTCCCCTTTCATACAAATAATATAAGACTACAAAATTAAACTACATAGCAAAAATAACAGGCAATGCATGCAAAATTTGTGTGACTTACCAGCCTGTCCAGTTTTCTGTCCACATCTTTGGTTTATATTTTGCATTGGGAGTAAAATTTTCGCAGTAGAATCCATTGCAGGTGTTTATCTGTCACAGTACAAAGCGAATTAGAGAGATAGATGAAGTGACAAAGAGATATCTTGAAGTTTTCTCCTATAACAATAGCATGTAATTACTATTCTAAAGTTATTAATAAATTAACCCGGATAAAATTTTCCCCTAAGATAACGAGTAGAAACTTCCTTTTTAACTGAACCCTCTCATTTGAGACCAGGGAGGCTGTGCTCATATAATGCCAGAAGGAAACACTCTTATTATTTCCATCATTATGAAACTCAGAAGCCAAAAGAATTTTCCAGAAAGACAAGCATAAAGAAAACAATGGGTGACTAGAAGTCCCCGAATTTGAAAATGAATAAAGAGCAACCAAACTCAAAACCGTGTGAGATAAGGTTCTACTACAATTTAACGCCACCTTAGCTGGGCAAAAAGTATTTTTAGAAACCCCACCAAGAAAGGAGAAGAGCACTAATTCAAAAGGCATACCGACAAATCTTTAAAGGAAAATGATAATAACAAAAGCAAAAACCAAAGCTTTTGATAATAAAAATAATAAATAATAAGAAAGAAAGACTTATGGAAGAAAATCTTACCAAAGGGTCAGGAGCATCATCTTGCTTGCACATAATCCATGGGACTCCAGTCCCAAGTCCCACTGCCATTTGTGCAGCCCATTTGGTGTAAGCTTTACCAGGAGCACCAATTTCCCATTCAACAGGACCAAATTCATTCTCAATCTGTCATCAAAAAATTCATTGAGAAACAAGAAAGTTTGATTAATCCATTTCGATTGAGTAATGAGCCAATTTTGAAGAAAAATGATAACCAATAAAATAACCATAATCGATATCCAGAAGGATGATTTTCCAACCTGAGACATAATTATTGGACCTCCTTGAGTCTCAAAGAGTTTTTCTGCTTTCATCATACTGACTATCTTCTCCGTGAATTTTTGCATTGCAGCCTACTTTATAGTCAATTACAAGTCGAATTATTTGATTAATAAAATCAATAAATCAAAAAAGAAAAAAAAATGAACAAAAGGGCAATTAGATATGATCAAGTTATTCAAAATTCTCAACCTTGAAAGGTCCATTGTCTGTCCTGAAAGCAATGCCGGGGACATATTTGAGCCAAACAGGAAATCCCCTGAACCAGAAAACAGAGCAAAAAAAAAAAAGAGAGAGAGCATATCAGTAAATCTGAATAAAATTGGAAATAAACTCACAAATATTTCTCAATATTATTACCCAAAGTTCCATTCAGCACAAATATAGGGACCAATCCGGAGATGAACATAAAGGCCAGCTTGTTGCACCAGCTTAATAAATCGAACCAGATCATAATTATCCTCAAAATAATACTGCAAAAAGAAATAAATACATATACAATAGGGGATAAAATTTTCAAAGTTATATAGAAAATTAACGAACTTCATGAATAAATTTGAAAGCACGTGCATTACTTTTCCAGGAGAAGGCTCATGTCCATTCCAGAAAACGTAAGTTTGTATAACATCTAAGCCTCCTTCTTTGGCCTTTGCTATAAGATCAGGCCACATCTGCATGCCCAAAAATGGTAAGTTTAATTTTTAAAAAGATTGGGCTTTAAAGTTTGAATCTTGAAAACTGAGAAAACCAAGAAACAGCCATGTTCTCGGAAAGGAAAGAGAAACCCAAGGAGCTACATTGGGGTTAAGAATACCTCAGGTGTGCTTCTGGGGTAATGAATAGAACCAGAAAGAAGAATCCTTCTCCTGCCATTAATGATAATAGCTTTGCTATCATAGGAAACAGTGGCTGAAACTGAAAAAACCCAAGCAGAAAACAATAGCCATAACATGAACATGTTGACCCTTGACCACATGTTTTTGTCCCACATTATCAGGACTTCAACAAAGCAATGAACTTTTGTATATCCTCTTTCTTCTATAAACGAAGGAAGATAGAGAGAAATGGATTGCGTTTTTAGAGAAACAAAAAGGAGGGAAAGTTAGCAGAGTTTTAAAGAGATAGTGGATTTGACCAAGACTTTTGGTCTTGGTGTTCTGAGTTTAGTACCATGAATGAGAAAGAGAATCTCTCCCTCTGCAACTGCTTTATAAATATTGAGCAATGAAGGAAAATAACCCCACAATTTTGCCTTTTGTATATATATTTTTTTCTATATCCACTAATTTTTTTGGTATTTATTATTATTTTCCTTTTCTGTGAAGAATTTTCATGCAAAGAGTATCAATTCTTTTTTCCTTAAAAGTGTATGTAAATTGGATGCCTTTGTTTATCTTTTTCATTCAATCAATCAAAAGAAACTTCCCTTTTCTTGTCATTTTCTATTGGAGTATTTTTTCAGCAATAATTCTATATTTATATCAAGTTTTATTATTATGGTTAGGATGTTTGTAAGGAAATAAATGTATTTTAGGCCATATTTTTTATTAGAATTTTTTTTATCAGAACACATTTTTTTTTCTTTGCTATAAGCTAACGATTGTATTTTACAAAAGATTGATGAAAAACAAATTATGAATCTCTTCCCCAAAAATGTACTTTAGCCATAGTTAACACCTCTGTAAAAACTTTAGCTTAAATCATTTTAAACAATTCAAAAGGATTTGTAATTAGTTTTCCCTTTTAATTTTTACTAAAAAAATTAAATTATAAAAAAATTATCATGATTTTAACGAATTTTGTTTTCTATTTTGATTAAAAAATATCAAAAATTCATCTACAAATGAGATTAAAGATATAAAAAAATAGAAAAGCTCCAAAGATTTATGAACAGTAAGTTACATTTGATGCTTTATAATTTAATTTATAAAAATTTTTAATTATCTCAAGCTTATAGGAAATTTTCGATAAAAATTTTTAAAAAAAAGTCAAGCCAAATTACATAATATTTCTTTATTTTCGATGACTCAAAGTAGAGATCACAAAGGGTGGAGACAAGTTTTTGTTTATCACGATCTGACCTAATTTTATACTTATAATATTTAAATTCAACTCGATTTAAAGATTTTTTTAATTTTTTTCATATTTGAATTTGATTTGACTCAACTTGAAATTAATAAAATATATTTTTAATATAAATATAAAATTAAATAAATAATTAAAAAATAAAATTTTTTATATATATCGAATTGAGTCAGGTTGATCTAAAATTCAATCTAATCTGACTTTAATTTTTTTCTACTATTATTCGATCTAACCAAAAATTCAATTTTTAAAATAAAAAAAATTAATCTTAAGAGATTGAATCAAAATCCATTGAAACAGATTGAGTTGCTATCCCTAACTCCAAATTAAAATCTGATATATTTCTTCTTATTTTCATGAAATAAAAAATTAAAATAAAAACCTCATGCACCCCCCCCCCCCAAAAAAAAAAAGGAAGTCTCGCAATTGCATGTTAGGATCACGTTTTGGACAAGGCAATTACATGAAATTGCTGTTTTTGTCTTAATAATATTATTAATTTATAAACTATAAACATAATTTATATAAAAAACAAAAATATTATTAGTAATTTTTATATGAAATAAATAGTTAATGTGAGAACCGAGAAGTGCTGAGTTCATTGAACTAAAAAACAACAGTTTTAATGACTTGAAAATCAAGCAAATATAAGAAAATTTTGTAAGAATTTAGTTTAGTGTACTCGAGTTGATTCTAAATTTCAAAATTTTAAATTCGACTTTGAATTGTAACCAAATTTAAAAAATAGATTAAAATATTTTTAAAATTTCTTAAATTATTTATTTTTAAAATAAATTTTTATATTTTTGTATTCAAATAAATTTTTATACTTTAATTTGTTTTATTTCAAATGAAAAATGATTTATGTTAAAGACTTATTTAAGTACAAATTAAAACTTAAAAATTTATTTGAATATAAATTAAAAATTATAATCTTATTGAATGTAATAAAAATATAAAAATTTATCTACGTGAAATTATAAAATTAAAGAAATTTTTTTATTATTTTAATAAAAAAATATAAGAATTTTGTTAATTATTATTAATAATGGCTATTTTATCATTGGTGTTTGATTAATCAGACATAGTTTTTTCTTTAAGAAGAAATAAAATTAATAAATAGTTGTTATGGTGGTTGATATAAGATCCAAAAATTAGGTGATGAATGGCCTTTAATCTTATATGAATTTTAAGTTTAAAGCCAAATAAACTCCATCATGCATGATTTAAGCACCCAACTTCCCCATCCCTAGTTTTGTTTTAATTATCCTCAACAACTCTGCTCATCCAATCACCAAGTCATCATCAAGAAATGTTTGAAAATTTGCCAATTTATGAATCTCAAAATTCTTTGTTTTTTTTTTTTTTAATTATATTATCTATTCCTCTTGGGAAGGTGTAGTCACATGTGACAAAGAAATTTGGGGGCAAGAATATTAGGTTTTGTTCACTTGACAACAACTTGTTCTTCAATATTTCTTATTTCCTTGAATGTTCATGGACATATCTAATCATAGTTCAATTATATTATTGTCATAATTGAGTCTGATGATCAAGTGTCGCATATTATCTCAAATTCATAATTGACATTTGACACTGATTGAATTTTGAGTAAATGATGATCCATTTAGAGTTTATTAAAAAAGTGAAGTTCACAAAATTAAATTCGAATCTTGTTATTTTTATCTATTGAATAATAAATTTTTGTAAAAAATAAAAATATTTTAAAAATTATTGTGATGTCAAATCAGTAAATTAATTAATGTAAAATTTTAATTAAAAATAATTTTATAATCATATCCATGAAATTTTGATGCTTTATTTTATATATAAAAAAGCCTTGATACATGACTTATTCATGGATAAGAACCCTACTTTCTTTAAAAAAAAAAAAATTGTAGTTATAAATTAAAGTTAGGGTACTTTAACTTATGCTTAGATATTTTGCCTAATTCAGTGCTTCATAAAGTGATTCCCTTCAAAAACTCCTTGCTTACCTTAATGAAATGACATGGAATATAAAACATATCTTTGACATTTGCACTCTTTCCTCAATTAAATCATGTAGAATTTTTTGAACCATCTTTAGACTATGCACTTCATTTTCTTTTCTGCCACTAATTTTTTAGTCCAAAAATTAGAGATATAGATGTTCTTGTCTGGTTATCTAATCTTCACCAAGTTTTAATTTAAATATTCTTTTCAAAACTATATAAAAATATAATTATCGGAAAGGCATTAATCTTATCTCCAAATCTAAAAAGCACAAATGTTAGTTGAGCACGTGCATCAATATTCAAGACAAAAAGTTTTATTGTAAATGAGAGTATTTTTTATATAATATAAGTAGTTAAAGGCATTTGAGGAGACATTAAGTGTTTAGTTTCGAATAAAACTTTTTTTTTTTTGTTTTAAAATTTTATCTTCTTGATATAATCAAATATATATATAATGTCGTGAAATTTTTTAATTTTATAAATGAGATTAAGAGATTAACATATCTTATTTTTTTCATTAATTTTTTTATTTTTAATATATTTTATGAGATATATATCACTGTTAATTTTTTTTGTAAAATCTAAAATTTCTATTAATGATAGAATACTAGTAAATCGATAAAGTTCATAAAAATAACAAATAATCATTTATTATATTGAACTATGTTATTAACATTGAATTATAGGGCTAAAATTTAGTAGATGCGTGAAAAACACTTTAAAATTTTCGTTTCTAAGAGGAGATTTTTTGTAGAGTTGGCATCGGGTTGGGTTCGAGTCGGATTTTGCCTAAATCTAACCCGATTTTATGTGTTATCAAATTCGAATCCGATTTTACTCGAATTTTTTTTTATTTTTTTATATCCAAACTCGATCCTGACTCGATACTATATAAATCGTACCCGACTCGACCCGAAATTAATAAAATATTATTTTTTAAAATATAAATATTATTTTTTAAATATAAATATTTGAAAATATCATTATAAAAATATATATAAATAAAAAATTAAATAATTAATTAAAAAATAATTTTTTATATAATATCGAGTCGGATCGGATCAAATTTGCCTAAAACTCGAATCTGATCCGATCCTGATTGTTTCATAATCTTACCCGACTCGAAACTTGAATTTTAAAAAAAAAAATCAACTCCGTAAGATTAGGTTGGATTAAAACCTATCGATGATGGATTAAATTGTCAACCCTAATCTTTGGCTCAAACTTAAAAGTTTACATGTTTTTACTATGATCGACAAATTTCACATCATCACCACTTTTTTTCTTTTTAGCTTTATTTCATTATTTTACTTCTCCTTTTAATCATTTTATTGCTAACATAAATGATAGGATTAAAAAATAAAGTTAATTAAAAGATATGTTTTAAGTTATCTTTTATTTTTTTAAAAGGAATATGCATTTTTATTTATGGTACTTTTTTGTAAAAAAAATTATAATTTGAGAATAAGAATAAAATTATAAGTATTGAAATTTAAATTTGAATTTAATGAATTGATTTTTAAAAGTGATTATATAAATTAATTAAATTAAATATTTAGGTAAAAAATTAGATATTTCACAATTATACAACTTATACTACATATTTAGTGGGGGCCACATTTACTTTGCTTTTACATCCTTTTTGTGAATTCTTACGTGCACATTCGAGAGGATGGGCCCATCATCCTTTTAACTGGTTCACTTTCAGTTATTATGTCTCTAACAATAAAAGAAGTGTTAATGTTTGAATTGGATAATTTGATTTAAATTTTTTAGATATTATGTAATGTTATGAAATTTAAAAAATTGATTTGAATTTGAATTAAATATTTGTTTGATCTGAATTAAATTGAATTAAATTTTATTGATTTTAAAATTATAATATTTTATTTATTATTTTAATATAAAATTTTAATATATTTAAATAAATTTTAATATAAAATTATTATTTTTATTTTATAAAAAATTAAAAATTTAAAAAATATATAATTCAATTTGATTCGATTTTTTTTTATTTTTTTATCTTATGATTCAAAATTTAATTCAAATTTAATATATATTTAATATCTAAATTTAATTCAAATTAAATAAAAAAATTAATCTAAATAAATCAACGATTACAATTTCAAATCAA